GGGTCAAATAGTGATCGTATCGTGTATTAACAGTGGCAGCAACTGTGGACAAGATGGTTTAAATATGTTCGTAGTTCAACTTTCACCCACTATGGTGTGCAAACGCCCCCTTAAATGTCACTAAAAAGTCAAAGCACTATCAATAATTTACATACTTCCTATTTGTTTAATGAAGTATCACTCTTCTTGCTTTAACACGAGAAAATTCTTGTAACAATATTTCTAGGTCTAATGACTCGGCTATTTTATGCTCAATTGAAATTGTTGCCAGACCACTTAAACGTTCCTGCGACATGGTAGATCTTAAATAAGTTTTTATAAGTTTGAGCTTTGAAAAGCTCTCTCCACTCGCCACTGTCACTGGTAGGGTAAGTAAAATTCTTAAAGCTATACTAACGTTTGGCGCGAAATCGTACTCACTAATCATTTGTAAGGTCTCTAGAGGTGTACTGTTTGGTTTCACAATTGTTGAAAGAACTTTCAGTTCATCTATTAGATCAGTGTAATTTAGATCTTTGGACTCTCCAAATGTTAAAGCGTCACATAGTCTTGAGCATTCATCAGATAAATCGCTAGGAGCCATGTCTTTAATTTTACTTACGTCGTATAAAAACTCAAAGATGTCACAGTGGCTTTTAATTTGGTGAAACCTGTCACTTAATGCACTAACGGTTGTGTCTATAATTTTGAAATAGAAGTCAACTTTATATCGGGTCTCTGGATCAAGGTTCGCACTTTCATCTTCAGCTTCATAACCAAATTGTCTTTTTACTTTCCTCTTTCTTGCTCGTGCTGTGCCTTCGATTTTCGGTGTCTCCATTTCCAACTTTGAAGCTAATTCTTTTACGTCCGTTAAATAGCCCTGGAATTTTAAATCACTTCGGAGAGACTTAAAATGGGTTTCCGTCTTTTCTAGCAAATCGACAGCTTTGGACAACCCCATATCAATACTCTGCAGTGATTTGCTGACTACGTTGATGTGAAGCAAAACATCGTACCATACTACCACAGAGCAAAGAAAAGTAAAATCGCGGATTTGGTTTGCCAAACAGCTTGCCTCATGAGCAACCATTTTGTCAGTCTTTTCATTTTCACTGATTTCTACAAGTGCATCGTAAATTTCATCAATATGGTATCTGAGTGGAGCGATTGCATCGATTCTACTTTACCATCTCGTTTCGGACAATGGCTTCAACGTTAGGCTAGAAATATGATTTTTCAGAACAGCCCAACGATGAGTGGATGCCGAGAAAAAGTTATAAATTTTTGTTACAAATGAAAAAAAAGAAACTCCAAACTGTGAAGCCTTCGCTGCATCGTTCACGACCAAATTGAGTGAATGGCTAGAACATGGGACAAAAAATGCTCTAGGATTCATTTGCAAAAAAATTCTGTTTTGAACTCCTAAGTTCTTCCCTTTCATGTTCGCCCCATTATCATACCCTTGCCCTCTCATGTTTTCCAAAGGTATTCTCATTTCATGCAGTTTTTGCAAAATAACTTCTGTGAGGCCCAAGCCAGTGGTTTCCAATACAGGAACAAATCCAAGAAAATGTTCTGCAATTTTAACACTTTTTGAACTGGAATCTAAAGCGACAAAACGTACAATAATGGTCATCAATCTGTTCTACCCCAGAAATATCAGGTGTGCAATCTAAAATTATGCTATAATACTTGGCAGATTTCAAAGCGTTTAAAATTTTATTTTGGATTTGGTCATGGAGGAGCTGAATAATTTCGTTTTGAATACGTTTTCCTAAGTAGTGGTGCCGCTTGTTATTTCCACTTGTTGTTCTCCTAATGTGCTCTTGTAAAACCGAATCAAATTTCCCAAAGAGCTCCACAAGTTTTAAAAAATTACCATTGTTATGGTGAAAAAGTTTATCAGACTCGCCCCTCAACGGAAGAGACTGCTGTGCCAAAAACTGTATTATCGATATAAGCCGTTCTATTACATTTTTCCAATGACGAGTTTCTGAATTTAGAACTTTTTGCGTTTCTTCGTCATATGTTTCCAATTATTATATCCATTTTCGGTAAAATGAATTTTCACATTGGACAATATTTTACAGCAAAAACAGTACACAGAATTATTTATCTTAGAATATATTAATCACTTTCTTTCAACAGTTTCCCCATTGCACATCTTGTAACTATAGTAGTTAGCTGTAAATCTACGATTTGAATCGTCTTTGGGGCACAAATGAGCCTCCGCAATAGATAATTTTGGCGGGGGCCCTCTTTTTACTAAAGTTGTTCTAACGAAATCATTGATTTTAATGGGCCACTTGTGGTGCCATATGTTACGAAAATACAATAACTGCAGGCACCGCATTTTCACCCAATAAATAACTAAGTAGCTTAATTTGTAAGTAGAGTAGATTACAAGTAGACTGTAAGTAAGGTCAAAGCGAGTGAGCAGTGTGTAACAATAAATGTAGTCGAAGATAGACCGTGTTTCCTTACAGAAGATAATAGGAGATTATCACATGGCGATCCTACCCTTCGAACTATTAACTACATGAAGTAAGTAAAACTTACCGGAAAAATGGGGGCACGCAAACGAAGGAAGCAGTCATCATTGCGCAAGCCGGAAATTCGGGAGGCCAAACCAATGGAGTCACACAGGTATCCACATACGAGATTTTGGGATTGATCGCTTTTATTGGCGTGGCTGTAATTTTGCTGATCATGATCTGCTGCATAGGGAAGATGATGATCCAACGGTATGTCCGAAAACAGCTTGCAGTACGTCCCACGGAGATGCAGGTCGTTTGATAGAAGTTTTGACAACGTGTGAGTAACGAAATAAACATTATATTTGTAGAGTTTGTGTAAGTTAAGTTATATAGATATGTTTAAATTAATGTAATGTTAGGGTTATTTAAAAATATCAAAAGTACGTTAAAAGATTTTATAGTGAAGTTACGTAAGGACAATAAAGATAGGCGCACTGATGTTGCAGTCACAAATAGAAAATTAATAGAATTAAATGATATTCGAGCTGACTTGGAAGTTGCGAAAGGTCAGTTTAACGCAATTGAGGGTAAAGGAAAGGCTTACGTAGCAGAAGCACAAACGTTAATAAATTCTATTAATGCTCTGATTGATGAAGTAAATGCAACATTGCAGGATAGGTTAACGTTAATAATAATAATAATGGGTGAAAAATTTGATTTGAAAGTGGCATCTTCTATGCTTCTAAGTATGGATGGCACAGAAGGTACTACTAAAGCCTTAATTGATGCAATTGAATTATACGATAGCATGCTAGATGATAATGGGAAGTTACTATTAACTAGATTTGTCTTAAAAACAAAATTATCTTAAAGCGCGAAATTGAGGTTAAATAATACGTATGCTAGCAACGCAGATTTAATTACTGCGATAAGGTCAAATTTATTGCCGAAAAAATAGTCATTCTGGATCACCCGGTATAGTCCGTAATGGAAAGTTCAAAAATGCAAATATGCATGTAAAAATATTGTTCTATGTAATTAAAAATGCATAATCCGAGCTCATATTGTTACTTTTCATTATAAAAGTTATTCGGTAAATTGTAATCAAATGATTACGCCTTATAGGTACTTACCACAATTTTTTAACCATTCGGGATGATTACGAAAACAAAATAATTTTAGTCCTTTAAAATTTCTACGAGTTTTATCGCAATTTATATAAATACACTTATTTCCGCCAGCTAACGGCATTCTAAATTTAACTTGATGCACTAGTATTTAATTTCCACGCGAGCGTAAACTTCGTTAGATGGTTACAAGTACACGCAAAACGAGAGACTGACGTTCGCGCCACCAACAAAACCAACGAAATCTTTCCATACTACTAAAAAATCTTTCCATTTCTCGAGCGTTAGCCCCGACAAGTCGCCCATAAGGACGAGCTATCTGTAAAGCTCCGTTTATCTGTGGAAATACCATCTGCCGGACGTTGCCAAATAGCAAAGCTGGGCGCTAATGGGTTGTACTATTTCCAATCTAGAAGCATATGCGAGTGGAATTGTTGGTATAATATAATACACAGCTCCTACTTTATAATAACCAGAATGCGAACCCAGAGGATTTATAATTTCAAAATCATCAAAATATATGACGAGAGGAAATAATATTCCACTATCTAGATTAATATTTAATTCTTACCACAAGGTTCCATTAACCACGTTTAAAACTGTATTGTCACTGTTGTATACTTTTTGTTTGTAGTCAAGAATTGCATGAAGTACTTCCGGTAACTCTCAAAATAAGGTGAGCTCGTCGATATAAAGCAACTGAAATTATTTACTAGGTCTAAACCAACACTGTTGTTTTGGTGTGCCCTATCGTGGTAGGAATTTTGAAAAAAAAAATTGCAAAATCGGAAAGCGCATACCCCAAAACCAATTGACCACCAGCCTTTTTATTTCTTATTATTGCTGAGAAAAAAATTAAAGGAGAAATGCAAAGTACTGCACTTTTTTGAGGGTGACTCCCAAACGAAACATGCTAGACCATCGGTTTATTATTTTTAATTATTTGGAAAAAGTGCTTATATTTTGACCCCCTCTACCATCCAATTTTTTTACATACTTATATGTAACACCCTGTATATTACACAATGCTTAAAACTATGGAAGAAAGTTCCTTCTCTAAGGACTAAAGTTCGTTCACCCAACAGAAATAGTTAAGCCACTCCTACAAAATTTGGGCCAATGTAAGCAGCAACCAGTTTTACAACCACAAAATTATAAAAAGCGGAAAATTTCAAAAATCCAATTGAAATGTCACTTGCTCAAAACTACTTATGGCGCTATCTCTCTGAACATAACTCGTGGCAAAAATAGTAAAACCTGCAAACTGTTAAATACATGTAAATATGCAACATAAAAACACTGTTTATATTGAGAAAAGTACAAAAAAGTATTATTACAGCAGCACAAAGTTTTGAAATTACAAGTGCACTTGAATATAAACAAAGGTACATAACAATTTAAATCCTGTATCGCTTCACTCGGATTCGGACTCCGGTGATGTCGAGTCATCTCCCACATGAATTACTAATGGCTCCACTACGATGTCCATTAAAATGTCAATTTGCCACATTTTTTCCTCTTCACTTTGAGCGTGGCGAATTGCGTTCTTCCAATTTTCAGCAGTAACATGTTTCACTGCTTGTTGAAATAGTGGATGAAGGTCTTTCATTTTAAATGTGGTGTTGTTTCTGGCCACTTCACCTTTTATTTGCGCCCATATCAGTTCAATTGGATTCAATTCGCAGTGATATGGAGGCAATCGCAGCACGGTACGATTGTGTTCCTTTGCAATTTCATCAACTACATATTTTGGTGTAACAGCTGCCCGTTTCACAAGCTGTAGAAGTTCAGCTCTTACCATATCTTCTTCGTAAGGTATCGATTTGCTTGTTAACCGAGTTTGTATATCAGCTTTTTTCGTACTGGTGTTTGGTATTTTTTCACTTTTCCTGCTATGATATGAAGCGTTGTCCATTATAATCACAGATTGTTCATCAAGATGTGTAACGATTTCCATAAACCACTTTTCAAAAACTTCACTGGTCATTTCTTCGTGATAATCCCCTGTTTTCTTCGATTCAAAACACAGCAAACCTTCCTCGACGAAGCCATCCTCGGACCCTATATGGAGAACAATAAGGCGATTTCCTTTGCCCGATGGATCTTTCAATCCAGTTGATAGCCCGTTGATAAATGCCTGTCTTGGAGTGAGAATTGTGGTGCCCTTCCATACTTTGCTTACAGTATGCCCAGCATTCACCCAAGTTTCATCTAGGAAATACAACTTCCTACCTTCTTCACGATATTTTCTAATTTCACGCAAGAACCGACGCCTCCAAGTAAATATTTCGTCGTTTTCCTTAAGAACACTATTGCGTGACCTCTTTTCGAATCTACAATGACAAGTACATAATATACATACACGTAAAGAAAAAAGGTTTACTGACCGAAAACCTATTTCTTTTATTAATTTCCATAAAGTAGTTCGTTTCAAATGGGGTAAGTCTTCGTGTAACACTGCCAAAACTTTACTCAGGGTAGGTGGTTCATTTCTTTCAAAGAAAGAATGAAGCAAACGTCGAAGAATACTTTTAGTTCCGGAATCAATATTGTCCAAAATTGCTCGTGGTCGATAATATTTTTTAGGTGAATGAAGTTCGTGTACCTCTGTATACTCCCGAAGAATCTTGTAGACACTCGGAATGCTTACACCTAAATTACACAATAATAAGTAAAAATGAATGTGCCTAAGATGAAAATTACCTGCTGCTTTAGCCGTAAACTCAACTTTATCCTTTTAGATACCTCCGGGTTGTCTTCCGAATATGCCTTGAAGATATTTAAAATGCCAGTTTTGTCTTCAACTGAAAAGTGCTTGGCAGAACGTTTTTTCGGTGGAGAGAAAGCAGCACCGGCGACATTCATGTTTGCGTACAACTTTTCTTGATCGCGAATAATATAACCCTAAAAACAGGCATGTAAAAATCGTGTATAAAATTTTATAATTACTCACCTGACTATCTTTAGAATACACCGACGAGTCTTTATAAAGACTATTTTGTGTGAATAAAGGAGATTAATGGCAAATTGACGCAAGTAAAGATGTAAAAACGTAAAAACCGGCAGAAACGCAATAGGCAAGATGACAGATGACAGATTACCCAATTCGGCCAATTCGCTTTACAAGTGTGATTGTGGCTTCAAAAATTACACCAATAACAATGCCGTATTCAAATGTGGCGGTAATTGTTGAGGAGGGGCTTAACTATTTCTGTTGGGTGAACGAACTTTAGACTTTCCCACAGACCATAAACGGACGTTCCTTCTCTAAGGTTTGAAATTTGACGAAAATATAACCTCACAAATAAAAAAATATTTAGCAAGAAAAAAATACAAGAAGTTGACACACGATAAATAATTAAATACAACAATAAGTGATACAATTAGAGATTAAAAAATAACAAATGATGATAATCGAATGAAATGAATTCTTCTTTATTAAAGATGAAATGTCGAATGGGTGACGTTGGCGTACTGGTACTTGCCATTGGCCTTGCAAAGGTACCCGTGTTGTTCCGCTGCACTAGATTGGCAAATCTGGGTGGATTGAATTTGGGCTTTAAGATGTTTTTATCCTTGGTCAATATAATACTAGGAGTATATGACATGGCGAAATGAGAACGGTAAAGGGAATGATTAAAAATGTTTTGTGCTCACAGGTAGAGGATGTTGAGCAGTTTTGCCAGATTCGAAATTTTCCTTGCGGTAGTTTCATAGCTGAAAAAGCGGTATATATAAAAATTTGACGGTAGATTTTTTATAAGCACCGTTTTAAGAGAAATTGGGGTATGTTGGCTCTAAAAAAAATCTATATCATGGATTGATAATTAAATTAATTAAATTTGCTTGCTTTTAATAATTTATTTTATCATTTAAGATTACAGATAATGTACAATACTGTTAAATTAATCTGATTCTGAAAAATCGTTAATAGCCTTATACATGTTGCTATTATGATACGACAGCAAATTATTGTCAATATTGATGTTAAAGCATTCATCTCCTGTGTAATGTTTTGCGTGCATAATACCCACAAAAACTAGTCGAAAGTAGTTTCTTTGTTTTGTTTTAAGCAAATTAATTTGCGAAAACGTTCTTTCCGCATTTGCCGAAGAATGGGGCAGGCTAAGTATATTAAATGCAAACTTTGCGAGCAAAGGATATACGAGTGTACCATCCGCATATTTTTCAGCCTGTACGTTTAACCAAAGAGATAAGACTGATTGGTCGTCATAACTAATTTTTGAATTTTTCAATAATCTCCATTCATTATCAAGTTTTTGTAAATCTTTCTCTAAAACTAAATTGGGAAAATGCATTGCTAATGGTAGGGGAAATTTGTCCTTAAAAGGAGCGTGTTCTTTTGGAAGTTATTTTTCAACCTAAGATTATGAAAATTTTTGATCATAGTGAAAAAGTATCATACGGAAAGTGATTTGACTTTTTCCCCTACCTTATTTAGATAATAAATAATCGATCAGCGCTTTAAGATACCTTGGTAGGTGTTTTAATCGATACATCGAATTTTTTAATCATTTAATGACCGAATTAATTCCAAATAACAAAATATCGACTCAAACCGTTAATCTTTTGTTTTTGCGACATTGTCAACCAACACATGCGAAATTATGGCTTACTAGTAGGCTTGGGACACTTCGCGACCCGAAGGACCAACATTCAAATGAGTATAACTTTTGTTTGAAAAGTTATTTTAAAAAACTGTTCGACAGTTTTGTTCCTTAACTCGTTTAGTATGTACACAACAAATTTCGTGGAATTATCTCTATTTTCGTTGTCCCGCCAAGAATTGCAGTGGAACTTTTTTTTTCGAATTTTCAAAAACTAATTTCAGATTCGTGATTTTCATGTTAAAAAAACCCCAGATACCAAATTTCGTCGAAATCAGAATTTTTTTTTGCACCCTAGTTTAGGGGTGCGCCCTTTAGGGGTAGGAATTTTGAAAAAAAAATTGCAAAATCGGAAAGAGCATACCCAAAAACCTATTCAAAGACATGCCACCCGACTTTGTAACTCTTATGGTTGCTGAGAAAAAAATTAAAGAAGAAATGCAGATTTCAACACTCTTTGGGGGGTGGCTCCCAAACGAACCACGTTGGACCCTCGGTTTATTTGGAAAAAGTGCTTGTTTTGATGCCCTCTACAACCCGATTTTTTTTTTTCGAACGGTCGTGTAACACCCTGTATAGGTAAGCACAATATTTTTAGTTTCAATTTCATTACACATTATCTACGCATTTTTAGCATAAAAAACATCGTGACTGGCATTTTTTAGCAATGGCAAAGAGCAAACTCTATTTATCTCAACCAAGGAAAAGCAAAAAGCTACGCATGAAAAAGATAGCTTTAATGTAAGTCTAACAGTTATTTTTTTATATGATGTAAATATTTACTCTGTTATTCTCCTCAGGAGGGGGAAGGCTATCGGAAAAAATTCGCAAAATGTTCCGAAACTCCAAAGCGTTGGTACAAATGAAAACCAAATTTCGACTGAAACCATTCTCGATTTTGAAGGGCAATTGGTAGTGTCTAACCATACTGACTGCAGAGAACAAATGATGGATGAATTTATCAATTCCAAATCCTCCTGTTATATTGATTCCGATATTTCAAACGCAGGAAGTGTTAGAGACTGCTCAGATAACGAGATTTCTGGAGATGATTCAGAAGATAGGTCCTTGGTTTATGAGCAAAGCGATATGGACATAAGTGAAGATACGGACCTTGAGGAACTTTGCTACGAAAAAGCCACAGCCAATAGTAGTTTGTTCAAAACAAGCGGTAGACGAATTGTGAACATTTCATACCTTTTCAGTCAATTGAAATCTTTGAAGCATGAAGGTATGTACCTACATTTAAAAAAATTGATTAGGCGATTGATCGATTTATTTATTACGTTTCAGGTTTTAACTGTTCGTTTTTTGACTTAAACCTTGTTTCTGAAAAAATTGAGGGTTTACATAGCGTTTTCTCCTTTAAATGTGAAGTATGTAATATTATTCAAAATATAAGGACCGAAGATCCAGATAATAATGTAAACGTAAACTTGATGGCTGCAATTGGTTGTATAAGTGCTGGTATCGGTTATTCGCAACTTTCTGAAATTCTTGCATCATTGGATGTCCCTAATATGTCACACACAACGTACAGCAAACATCACAACCAGTTGTTTTCGGTTATACAAACCAAAAATGAGGAACTTATGGTAAACGCTGGAAAAGAAGAGGCTTTGTTGGCGAAAACTTCCGGTGAAGTAAATAGTAAAGGAATACCGATTATATCCGTTATAGTTGATGGAGCTTGGAGCAAGCGCTCATACCGAACAAACTATAATGCTTTATCTGGAGTTGTAAGTGTATCTGTAAACGCAATTAACAATATATTCTAGAACTTTCTGTATTTTAGGCATGTATTATAGGAGCAAAGACAAAAAAACTTTTGTACATTGGAGTTCGGAATAAGTACTGTTACGTATGCGCAAGAGCAACAGTTTTAAAAGATCATGATTGCTTCCAAAATTGGCATGGAACTTCTACATCAATGGAAGCTGACATTATTGTGGAAGGTTTTAAAAAGTCTGTAAAAACGCACAATTTGATATATGGGAGAGTGATAGGCGACGGTGATAGTAGCGTTTATAGAAAGTTGACAGAAGCAGCACCATATGGACCGACATTTGTAATACAAAAAATTGAATGCCGTAACCATCTACTTCGAAATTATTTGAACAAAATCTCAGAAATTTCAAAAGATTCGAATTTTCCAATAGCACTACGAAAGAAGGTTACTAATAGCGACACATTGGGTCGCTTCCGGAATGCGGTGACTAAAGCTATTGAACACAGGAAAAACGAAAATAAACCATTTGATGAGAAAACAAATTCATTGAAAGGGGATATTTTAAATGGCCCAAAACATATATTTGGGGACCACAGTGCATGTGACGATTACTTTTGCAAGGGCGGGGAGGTAAGAATTTCATGTTTAAAGTTATCTGTGCCACACATAACCTTTTTTTTTATTTAGGAAAACCTTGTACCTGATCTACAATCATGCGGTTTGTATAATGTAGTGAAATCTATAAACATGCGATTGGCAAACAATGCTGCCAGTCTGCTACATGACGTTGACACCAAGGCCGCCGAAACCTACAATGCTATAGTCGCCAAGTTTGTAGGAGGAAAAAGAATTAACTTTTCGTTAAAGAATTCTTACCAAATAAGATGTATGGCGGCGGCAATTTCTTATAATTCATCTGGAAGTTTTATGGCAATTATTTTAGAAGAACTATCTGAATTGGCTGCAGGAACTTATTTAGAAAAGTATTTAGTAAAGAGAAGTAAAGCCAGAGAAATTCGGAGACAAGGTAGCAATACGTCCCTGGTTAATGATTTATGAACACATTTTGTGCGTTTTAGGAAAATGTGTGAAGAGGAAAAAATTTGCTACAACAGATAGATCTTATGGTCCAGAGGCGTCTAACATTATAGCAGATATGGACTTACACAAAAAAGTGTAACGAATTTTTACGTGAATTGGATCAAGCAGACAAAGAATTAATTTTTCGTTCATCATTGTTGCAATCTGGGTCAGTTGTTTGGAAGAGTGAAAGGATGAAACGAATTACCGCGTCAAATTTTGGAAAAATATGTAAACTGCGGAATAGTACTTCAACAGCAAAAACAGTTTCAGCATTATTATACTCTTCTTTTAAAGGTTCCAGTGCTACACAATTTGGTTTAGAAAGTGAAGAAACCGCAATTGCTTTATTCGAAAGTAAATATAATAAAAAGGTAAACAAAAGCGGCTTAGTAATAGATCCAAGTATTTCTTATTTGGCATGTTCTCCGGATGGCCTAGTAGACAATAATGCGATTATTGAAATAAAAAGTTCGGATAAATCTGGTCTTTTGTCACCAACTGATGCGATACTGCAAAAAAAAAAATTGATTATTGCTTGCTGGAGAATGATTACACTAAAACGAAACCACAATTATTTTTATCAGGTGCAGGGTTTGTTACATACAACTCAACGGGAAGTATGCTTTTTTATATTGTATACCAGAGGAGGATTTCATGTTGAAGAAATTTTAAGGTAATTATTACAAATTTTTATTTATTGACGTTTATTTGTTATATTTTTAGGGACGATTCTTTTTGGTCACAGTACATGGAAAAACGGCTACGTGATTTTTATATGTACAGTTTACTACCTGAATTAGTAGACCCGAGAAGATCTCGCCAACAAGAAATTAGGAAGGTTTACCTTACAAAATAATTTTTCATGTAATTACTGTTATACTATACAATGTACATTTTTTTTTATTAGGAAAGTGGAAGAATGTTATTTTTAATTGTTCGTATTAGAGGTTATAAATAAAATTTCCAATGTTGCGATGATTTTTATTTTATCAAAACGATAAAACGCAAAATAAAAATCGGAAAATTTCACTGTAATCGGATGGGCCGTTTCTGAGAACAAAGTGCATAAAATTTGCGGACGACGACTATGACGACGACAACAGACGGACCGACACTTTTAAAAAACACTTTTTGGCGTCCTTGGGTCATGAAACGTCGAGAAAAATTAAAATTAACAAAATTTTTGTTTGGTCGATTACCTACAATACTTTCTTTACGTATGTGGCGGAAAGTAAAAGCAAGATTTTCTGTAAATACTGAAAAATATTACATTTTGTTTGTATTATTTGTATATAGGAAAAATTAAAATAAAGAAGTAAAATTAGGGAGCAGCATTATTGTGCATCGAAATAATAAAACAGTTTACAAAAGAAGTAGATAATACAGGTAGGTATAGTAATTATAATTACCGTCTCTTTTGATATGTAAATGAGTTACATACCTGGAACAGCTTCAATACGGCCCAAGGCAATGTGTAGTTTAAGTTGCCTATCTCTACAATATTTTTTCTGTGTAACACGCATTTTATAAAAAACTTTTTATGAAGATTAAAACTAAACCAAATTAATTGAAATAACTTTGTATATACTTTCTTAATGTAACCCAACGTGACATTAATTGTATGCATTTAGTTTTTTAATAACCTTAACACACGTCTGTAAATTTAATCTTATCGTAATACAAAAAATCTCCTTCGCAGTAAATATACAAGCAAATTTTGACCCAAAAAATGCATACATCAAATTTTATGTTATAATGCAATGTAATAAAATATCCTAATCCTTTCCAAAATAATTTCCTGAACCAGGAAATTGATAAAAAGTTCTGCATTTGAGGTTTCATTTCAGTGAGACATGTGTGTGGCCTATCCCCTGTTTCTATCCGCCTTAACGTATTACGATCACGCCGTTCAACATAAAAATATCGACAATCAGTGCCTTGCTTTAGCCCAAATACCCAAGGGCCATCTATACGCCGTCCATGGTTGCGATTATCCTGAATTTCTACATCGCTGTCTTCAGATACAGGTGCACCATCACCGGCTAGCATCCTTCCTCGATTATATTTTCGCCGTCCAGCAAATCTTGCTTCGTCGATTTGTATTGGATTGTCGTCATCGCCAGTCATTCTTCTCCTTGTTCGAATAATGGATCCGCACACCTCTCGGCACATGTTGAACCAATCGGTAACCGTTGCAGATGATTTTCCAGTTAGCGTGACCGTACTGTTCGTTGGGATCTCCATCACAAACAAGAACACTAGCTCCAAAATTTCGCACAAACTCAAATTACAGTGTAATCTATTGTTCACATCAGTGTAATGAAAAAATTGATTTCCTTTACGTACAGAGCGGTAGGTTTGGCAGCCTTTACGAGGACACCTGAATATAGGCCTGTATTCTCCATTTCTGTCGCGTCTTCTTTTCTGCTGCATTTCACTGCCACATCTGTGACATGGTTCTACATCCTCCGCTGCATCCAAAAGTTGTCTTTCTTGCAGATAAGCGGCTGCCAATTCTTCGTTTAGAATAACGTTATTGTAAAAATCTTTCAGCAACATGATCAATATTGAAAATGTCTGAGTACTGAAAGTCAGGGCTGTGGAAATTCACTTAAGTACAATCATTATCACCCTGATGTCCAATAGCGGTCGATGGTTGGGGTGATTATAAATAGGTGATTAACGAAAGCGGCATAATAATAGAAAGCTGTACTTTCATCCCATTATGGATGCAGTTATTCTCGTCATAAACAAATTTTAAGGGAATGTTAATTAATGCTTCTTATGGGATCATTAGTGACTTTAAATAACAGCACCCCATAATGAGCCTATTAATCTCTTTCTTATAATTACATTAATAAACCTTAGCTAGAAGGTTATACGATAATAATAAAAAATAGCAATTTATAATTGCCGTAATTTGGTTTTTGAATTTTGGAAACACTGTTTATTTTTGTGATGGAGATCACATGCTAGGTGCTAGGTACATTCTTACACTGCAGACCGCACGCTATAGTGTTATTCATATTGGTAGACCGCACGCGAAAGCGGCACCGAATAATTTTAGAGCATTATATTGTTCTAAAGAGAGCCAACGAGTTTGGCTTGGATGTAAAATCTTGTGAATTTTCGTTTGCGTAAAGTTTTGAAACTCTTTTAGAGCTTCAATCCTTTTGGGACTATTGGCTACGTAATTATAAATATTGCGGACACAATCTTCCACAGCTCTGGGGAGCTTTAAGCAAGCATTTGATGCACAGAGCGCAAAACTGTGGCAAATGCATTTAAATAAGAAAATATGAGGTATATCCCTTTTTAACTTTGACATAACAGAGTGGTGTGCACCAACCATTACGTTTGCACCATCACAGGCGAACCCGATTAGATTCTCTAAGTGGGGGATATTTTTCTCTTGAAAAAAACGCACGATTTCCCTATATATGTCCTCAGCCCTTGATGCCCTTCATTTTAATTAATGTTAAAAAAGTGTCGTGAATCCTGCAAAAATACATAATTAAAGCAAAATAATTTGTTGATGATTGCATCTTACCTATTCTCATAAAAATATCGGGCAACCATAACTAAATGCTTCGAACAACTTAGGTCCGTCGACTCGTCAATAATTATAGAGAATTTGACCTTTTTTAATATATCGTAAAGTTTTTGAGCACTTGCTTGGCCAATTACATTTTTTACCACAGCGGTTGTTTTGGTTCTACCGCATTTTATATTTTTGGCAATCTCGGAATCGCTACAAATGCTCCTTAAAAGTAGCGGAAGATGTTCCGCAATTCTAAATGGCAAATTGTGCTCTGCCACAAAAGCGGAAATATACATATCCGCTTTTTTTGTAGCGGTTTCGATTGATGGACCTTTATTTACAAATGATTTTAGAGTTGGTTGGTTTACTGCCTGCTTTGATTTTTTTCTGTGCGATTCACTATCCTGATGTCGCACCAATTGAAGTTTCCCTGAACTTATATTAATGGTTTTATCGCATATCTTACAATGTGCACAACTTGATTTTTTCGCTTCAATTATCCAATTAAATTCTGCTTCCCATTTTTTTGTATACAATTGATTATATTTCCGTTTTTTTGGTTTGCTGGAACTTGGGGCAGAATCGGAAATATATTCATTCTCTGAATCTGAACTAAAATGGTTGCTATAGAAAATAATGTTCTTTTCCTTTTAAATCTGAATTTTACCTCATTTTATACGTAAACGTAAATAGGTAGTTCTTATTTAAAGGCCGTACGTTTCCTTTAGCAAACACGGAAATCCATGTAATATAAAAACTAACACAATAAAGACTTAAGATTGAAGGGCAGAAGACAGATAACGAACGGGAGCGTGATCGAAGTCCGAAAGAAACTGAATTTTAATTTGCTTTTTCTTTTTGTTTGTTGGATTGAAGTCATTCTCACAAGTTCATTTAAGGTAAGCAAGAATGTTCAGATAAGAGACTTGCAATGTTTTATGAATAGCACACTGTAATTTAATAGACCGGAAAAGGCTCTGTAATTTAATACTATCATGGAATTAATTTAGCATTCCCTGATAATGCCGAGTTAATTTTATGATTATTTTATTTATTTGGCAGCTTCCAGGTCAGTTCAGCGCAAATGCTGCGAAAAAAATATGAAAGAGACAAATAATAGTATTGCGTAACTCAAATCTTTAGCGGTAGAAGTTATATTGATTGCGGTAGAACGGTAGCTTAAAACTCAAAACGGTAGATCTACCGCAAAAACGGTATATCTGGTAACGCTGATGTGGAGAGCTAGAGTATTCCTATCCAACCACGTTTCGATATTTGCTATACCACAGAAACCATAGCATAAGAACGTGCGTTTATGCAACCGCAAGTGCGGTAAAGTGTGGGCAAATTCCACAAAAACACTGATGCATTTAAAGGCAAGCTACCCTGCGAAATTCGATACAGCACAATCTTCAAAAGTTTCTTCTTTATCACTGTCTGTTTCTCGTTGAGAAGAGGACGACAAACTTTTGTCGGTACTCTCAACAATTCGAATTTCGTCCACGTCAGGTTCACAATTTGCGGAAGTGGGTGGTTTTTTTATCAAGCAGTTAATCGCGTTGCTCCTGAAATCTGTCCTCAACATTTTTGCGGGTGGATTTCTACAGTAACCACCTTTTTTGGAAAACGGGGTTTTCTAAAACACCTTAGTTTTTAGCCTGCTGGTTTATTCCATTTTTCTCCTGTTCATTACAAAACATGAGTGCAATTAACAATTTGTAAGAAAGCAGCCAAACACGGAGGCCTTGTTTTTCGACCATTTGCAAATCCAGCTTTTCTAATTTGGGAAAGAGTTTGATTGCTTCTTGAAATCTGTTTTGAATCTATTTTTTAGTTTCAGAGTGTTAATTTAATTTAATTTCGGCAAGGAGCGTGTTTTCTTTCAACCTTTGTCCAAACTGTATACCGCTTTAACATTATTAAAAGTTTATTTTTTCGTCTACTAAAGTGCGTTTCAGATGTGCGTGTAATAAAGGAATGTGCATATAGCGAAAAATTTCAAAGAGCCGCAACACAATTTCCATTTGAAAAGCAGTACCTATTTAAAAGCGCACAAATATGAAAAATACGCTCCATAGCAATAAGGGTTTGAAAGGATCTCCTAGACAATAGTTAATGAGCTTATAATGATTTTATTTACAAACTTAAAATGTACATGGGGGCGTGCAAATGGAGTTTACAGCATTTGTAAAAGTTATATATGAACAAGAAGTATTACGTTATGCAATCTGCGTCAATTTATTCTTCATTCGTGAAGGTGTCTTCAGCAGTCACGTTAATAATTAATCGTTCCACCAAGATGTCCAATTTGTTTGTCCAAGTCCAAGTTTCTTCTTGATCTGTCACATGTTGAAGGTATTTTTTCCA